GAGCAGCTGGGACTTGAACTGGTATGCATATGGGATACCGGCACTGCAGGCGGCGGTTTTACCCACTGCAATACAGCGCCGGCCCCTGTACTTTTACACTTCGTTTGTGTGGGTGCAAACAGCTGAAATCTCTACTTACTATAGAGTTGGTCTTCTGTACATAAAATCAATTAAAAATGAATCTTAATAAAAAATGGAATGGGAAAGGGAGTAGGAGGTGGGATAGGAGTGGGGGAGGGAGGGGGGGAATGGGGTGAAAAACCACTATATTCCTAAAGCTGTACATATGAAATTTGTATTCATTAAATAAAAACCTTCTAAAAAAAGGACTGGTTCACCATGTGTTATCAACTAATGTAATGTACCATATCAATGGAAAAGAGGGCCAAAACCACATGCTAATTTTAAAAGACATAGAAAAAAATTGAAAAAAAATTATTATGAATTCATGATTAAAAAAAGAAGTCCAACAACAAACTAGAAACAGAAGGCAGAAGGGAATGTCCTCACTTTGATAAAGGCCAGCTACCGGAGACCCACAGTTACTATCACACTTCGTGGTGGAAGACGGAGTTGAAAGGTTTCCCTCTAAGACCAGCAGCAGCAGGAGGAGGTCTGTTCTAACCACTTCCACTCACACAGTCCTGAAGGTTCCAGCCGGGTAATTACACAAGAAAAAGAAATAAAGGGCATCGCCATTGGAAGGGAAAAAGCAGATGGTGGCATCTGCTTGTACACAGAAAACCCCAAGGCATCCACAAAAACCTGTGAAAATGAATGCTGTGAGATACATGACCAATACACAAAATCGATTGTATTCCTATACACCAGCAGGGAATAATCCAAACACAAAGGAAAAAGGGAGTGGGCATGTAGCCTAGTGGTCAAGATGCCCACCCCCGCACCTAAGTGCCTGGGTTCAATTCCCAGTACTGGCTCCTGATCTAGCTTCCTGCCAACGCAGACATAATTGGGTTCCTGCCACCCATGTGGGAGACCTGGACTGAGTTTCCAGATGACCATTTTCAACATTTGGGGAATGAATCAGCAGGTATGAGCTTGCTTGTTTTCTCTCCCTCACTCTCTCTTTCCCTCTTTCTCTTTCTGTATGTATGTGCATGTGTGTGTGTGCCTCTCAAAAAATTTCTAAAATTCTTGAATAAACGGCTTGAGTATAAGTTTCTCAAAAGAAGATACACAGTCAATAGCACAAGAAAAGATTTTCAGCATCAATGATCACTAGAGAATGATCAATGATCAATGATGACTAGAGAAACCTAAATCAAAAGCAAAAAGAGGGGGGCCGGTGATGTGACGCAACGCAGTAGGTTAATCCTCTGCCTGCGGCACCGGCATCCCATATGGGCCCCGGTTCTAGTCCCGGCTGCTCCACTTCCAGTCCAGCTCTCTTCTATGGCCTGGGAAAGCAGGAGAAGATGGCCCAAGTCCTTGGGCCCCTGCACCCTCATGGGAGACCAGGAATAAACACCTGGCTCCTGGCCTTGGATGGGCGCAGCTCCAGCCGTTGTGGCCAATTGGGGAGTGAAACAACGGAAGGAAGTCCTTTTTCTCTGTCTCTCCCTCTCACTGTTTGTAACTCTTAACTCTCAAATAAAAAATAAAATAAAATCTTAAAAAAAAAAAAAAAAAAAAGAAAAGCAAAAAGAGGGGCAAGTATTTGGCCTGGCTGTGAAGACCCTGCTTGGGATGCCCAATGCCACATCAGAGTGCCTGAGTTTGAGTCCTGAGTGGGCTCCTGATTCCAGTTTCCTCCACTGTGCACCCTGGGAGGCAGCAGGTGAGGTTCAGTTAGTTACGTCCCTGCTTCCCATGTGGGAGACCTGGACTGAGCTGTTGGCTGCCAGCCTCAGGCTGGCCCACCCCAGCCATTGTGGGCATTTAGTGAATGAATCCACGAATGGAAGATCTTTGTCTCTCTGCCTTTCAAATATGGTAAATGAGAATGTAAAAAACAAACAAAAAGCAAAATGAGGCACCATTTCACACCCACCAGTCTACAATAAAAATAGATACCTAACAAGTGCTGGCAAGAATATGGAGCAATTGGAACCCTCAACATGCTGCTGATATATGAATGCAAAATAGTGCAAAATAGAACAGAACAGTCTGACAGTTCATCAAAAATTTAAACATATAGTTACTGTGTGACCTAGCAGGTCTATTCCTGGTTATGTGCCCGAGAACAGAAAGTGTATGTCTACACAAAAACCGTACACTAATGAACGTAACAGCCTTATTCATAATTTTGCAAAAAGCAGAAATATCCTAAATGATCATCAACTAATGAAAGAAACAAAATATGGTACAGGTATATAATGGAATATTACTCAGTGATAAAAGGGAATGAAAAACACTCATACACACTAGACCACGGAGGAACATCGAAAGCATTCTAAGTGAAAGAAGCCAGACATAAAACCCACAAACTGTGGGATTTAATTTACATGAAATTACCAGGACAGGTAAATCTATAGTGGATGAGTAGTTGCCAGGAGCCCGAGGGAAAGGGGCTAGTGAGTGACTCTCATGGACAATGGGTATTTCTTGAGGATGGTGAAAAGTGTTTTCGGAGGCCGCACTGTGCCAGCATCCATATGGATGCTGGTTTGCGTCCTGGCTGCTCTACTTCCGATCCAGCTCTCTACCATGGCCTGGGAAAGCAGTGGAAGACGGCCCAAGTGCTTGGGCTCCTGCATCTGTGTGGCGAGACCTGGAAGAAGCTCCTGGCACCTGCCTTCGGATCGGCACAGCTCCGGCCATTGGAGCCATTTGAAGAGTGAACCAGCAGATGGAAGACTTCCCTCTCTCTCTGCCTCTGCCTCTCTGTAACTATAAAACTTTAAAAAAGTTTTAGAATTAGATGGCTACCTTGCGAATATACCAAAAACCACTAAACTGCATACTTTAAAAGGGTGAATTTATCTCAATAAAAAAGTTTTAATGTAACAAAAGCTGAAGACTTCAAAAAAAGAAAATGATGGAAGTTATAAAATAATAACATGCATCAGCTCTGTTAATCTACTTTTCTCGTTAGACTCCACAACTGTCACATTACTCTTAAGATTATAAGATTCTAAATTCTTGGAGTCAGTACTTGTGGCGCAGTGGGTTGAGCTGATGCTTGCAATGCTGGCATCCCATATGGGTGCTGGTTTGAGTCCCAGCTGCTCCACTTCCAATCCAGCTCCCTGTTAATGTACTTGGAAAAGTAACAGAAGATGGCCTATGTACCTGGGTTCCTGTTCTCTTAGGAGACCTGGACGGAGTTCCAGGCTCCTCCTGGCTTTGGCCTGGGCCAACCCTGGCCATTGCAGTTATTTGGGGAGTGAACCACGGGGTGCAAGATCTGTCTCTCTCTCACTCGCTTTCTCTCTCTCTCTGTGTAACTCTGCCTTCCAAATAAATAAAATCTTTTAAAAATATTTTAAATTCTTGATATCTACTATAACTAATTTAGGATATATAATTTATATATGCATTAATTTTATTATGAACATTTAAATATACACACACCCCCCATGCTTCCTGTAGTTTCAAAGTATCAAGGATGGGCATTTGGCATGGTGCTTAAGGTACCACTTAGAACACCTGCAACCCACGTCAGAGTGCCTGAGTTCACACTCCAATTCGATTCTGATCCAGCTTCCTGCGAATGTACAGCCTGGGAGGCAGCAGGTGATGGCTCAAGGACTTGCATCCCTGATACCCACATGGGAGACCCAGACTGAGTTCCAGACTCCTAGCTTCAGCCTGGCCCAGCTGTTGCGAACGTTTGGGAAGTGAACCAGCAGATGGAGTATCTCTCTGTGTCTATGACCCACCCCCACCACCTCTCTGTCTTTGGGAAAAAATAAACCAACCCTGCTAAATAAAAAATAAAAAATGTTGGGGCTGGTGCTGTGACGGAGCAGGTAAAGCTGCCGCCTGTGGTTCTGAGGGCTCCAGTTCAAGTCCCGACTGTGCCACTTCCACTCTAGCTCCCTGCTAATGCACCTGAGAAAGCAGTGGAGGATGGCCCAAGTGCTTGGGCCCCTGCACCCATGTAGGAGACCTGGAAGAAGCTCCTGGATTGGCCCAGCTCTGGCTGTTGTGGCCATTTGGGGAGTGAACCTGTGGATGGAGACAGGATCTCTCTCTGTCTCCTCTCTCTCTGTGTAACTCTGTCTTTCAAATAAATAAATAAATCTTTTAAAAAAATAAAAAGGTATCAATGTTGGCTCATTAAAAAGTCTCACAGAGCCTAAACTAAGTGTTTTAATAATGTAGGGAGAATCCCCACAAGGAACTACCCATATTAAAAAGGCTACATTTCAATGGATTAGACATTAAAAAACTGAATGGATAAAACGTGAAGATGGCTTAGATTGAAAATGAGAGAACAATAACAACAATGATGGCATTTCACTGACAGGGGACTCCAAAATCTGTACTTTGCCATAATACTTGGATTGAGCAAAAAAGCTTCCAAAAGAGGTAGAAGGAAAAATGTTGAAGGAAGGAAAGGGCTAAGTCCAAAGAAAACGAAACACATCTTGGCTAAACAGCTGCGTTGAGAAACAATTTCCTGTCTTGCAATTAAGAACCGATTTCTTTCTGAAAAACACAGGACACTGGGTTAATAGATTTCTTTAAAAGAAAATCTGTTTTGGCTACTGAAACATTAAAAGAACAGAACATCTGTTTTGCAAATAAAGACAGATTGCATTGAAGAATCAGATATCAAACCACCGATTAGACTAGCATTTAATTTGTTCTATTTAAATTTTCAGTGTGAGTAAATGAAGTTGCATTCATGGAAGTACAGCTCAACTGTAAATATTCAACACTAGAAACCCCTAATATGGGGATGATTTTAGAGTATAAAATAAGTAATTATTGATATCTTTTAATTATTTTTAGTTCTATTCAGAATCTATTTCAAAATCAGGTTTTAAAGTATTCAAAAACTATTCTTAAAGTAATGAAAAGAAGAAACTCACCATCCATGAATTCTGTACATATTGAAATCCTGTTTTCTACAAAAAATGCCCCATAAAATCCTATGATATATGATGAATCGCACTGTAAGAAAAAAACAAAAAGAAGTTACAAACTTGCAAGTTGAAACCACAGGTATGCTTTTGTAAAAATGGTTAATAAGAAAATTACCTTATAAAGAATTTCCAATTCAGACATAATTTGCTTCTGAAGTTCCAGTGTAATATCTAGTAGTATGACCTAAATATGAAGGGTAGTAACAGTCACACATTCATTCTCCTGCAACTGAACACAGCCATCATCTCTATGAAATGCAAGAACTGAAGGTCACAGGGGCTGTTCCTCTGCTCGCACCCACAGCCCCTTCCCACCACTGCAGTCCCCAGGAGCACCAACCTTCGCTGGGGAGGGGCACGGACGTGATTGATTGATGGGCCCAGGGAAAAAGCCAGGCTCAAAGGTCAGCAGGAATGGCTTTAAAAGTCAGTTAAGCCAGAAGGCGCTTAATTTGGGAACCCTATTTTGGCCGCATTAGTTATTTTCATAAGAGGAAGACACCAGTGACCCTCAAAGCATCCAGAAACAACAAATTAACTATCTTGTGACGCAGGCATGAGGCAGTAAGCAGAGTAATGAAATGAAATGGTAATGAAAACATCTAGAATGAGCAAAGTAAGGACTTGGAACAAAGCTGCCATCTTTGAGTCATCTTCCCAGGCGGGTGGAGCTTCCCTGCACACCCTGGCACATGATGCCCGTGCCAGACCCGGCCTCATTGCACCTCACCCCCTCCTCTTAGGAGGCAGGCACAGCTGGGAGAGCCCTGCTCTGATCTGGTGACCCCCTCACCAGCCAGTGCAGCCTGGAGCTGCAGGGCTGTCCTTCACATTTCAGCCCGGGCATCGGAGCTGTCACGCAGAAACGCAAGCACTCGAAACCCACTCAGGAGGAGTCCTTGTTACTTCACAGTTATTCAACAAAGGCCCATCGATAAATGGTTCAGAATGCACCAAGCCCTTCAGTGAGGCCAGTTCAAGGGAAGCGATGGTTTAATTCCAAAAGACAGTGACAGAAACAAAACAGGTTGAAGAGAGTTTTTAACATCCATGACACAATTTGTGATTCCAGATATTTCTAGATAAAAATGGTAACTTTCAGGATCCCCAGGACAGGGTAGTTATACATGTATCACCCAACACTGAATTACATTTTAGATTACAAGTGAAGAATATATCTATATCTGTATCTATATCTATCTATATATATATATCTCCCAGTACAATTAGATATATATAATTCTATATATTATATAAATATATATTTGTAAATACATAAAACTATGCTGGAGAAAAACCATAAATTATGACTTGAAAGCTGCTGATAGAACAAGGAAAGAAAAGGCCAATCCTAAGCACACATTTTCCAGTGCTGACATCCCTTTGGGGGAGGGGAAGGCGAGAGGAAAAAAAGAGCCTAGCCAGTTTCTATCTAGAGTTTGCTTTAGGGTTATTTATAAAAGCTCTCACTAACCTAGATTGTAAGTATAATACGAAACTGCCAAGAAACATTTAAACACTTCTCTCGATCAATAGTCATTTGCCAACAGTACTCACTAAACATTTTCGCTCCTGTATAAAACTTCACAACAAAATAAATGTGTTGAGTGTGGTTTCAATTCTGTGCCATAAAATATTCCTGCTATGCACACCACTATGTCAAGTACAGAAAGTCTTTCACCCTAAAAACTCTGCTAAGAGGAATGAAATTATTATTGACCTTAAACAGCAGTTCTCAAGCCTGGTCTCACATTATAATTACCCAGGGCGCTGTAAAAATTTCCTGCTGCACAGGCCTCATCCCAGAACAATGGAATCAGAATTTCCAAGGTTGGAATCACACCCTGGTATTCCTATAAACCTTCCGAGGTGACTGGCACTCCACAGAAAGGGGGAGAACCTTTATTGCAGGTTGCAAACATGCCATTCATTCAGTGCTGAGATAAGATGTACCGCATCTGCAGGTCACCAACCTAGAAGGGACACGATTCCTTAGGGCAAGCCAAACCTTGGCGTTAACCCAAAGCTACTGGCTGGAACTCTAGCATTCACCGGATCAAGAACGCCACTGGGTTCCCATGGCCTGGAATAAACTCAAGGCTCTGGTCTGACATTTGAGGAATCCTTTTCAATTTGTTATTCTAACTCCTCCCCCTCCCCCACCCCCACAAGCGCACTCTTCACCTGAGGTAAGATGAATTTTGATGGCTTTTCCTGGCCACATTCATGCACAGGCTTGGCTGCCGCTGTCCCCTGTGTGTGGAGCGTGCTGTGCCTCCGCTCCACAGGTCCTGACTGTGCTCTTCTCTCTGTTAGACGCAGCCTGAACACTGCCACCCCAAAGCCCTGCCTCAGAATCCACCTCTATCTGGTCCTCTGTACTTCTCCCGTAGCGCTCACCCCTGCTGAGTGGCCACGGAGCCCTCACGAGTGGAGACTGAGTCTTGCGAGTTCCTCCAGTCCCCCAGCTCCCCGCACAAGGTCTTCCAGTAGTGCCCATCAGAGTGATGTGGGATTTAATTAAAGTGCTCCTTACAACCGTAATCCTCTAAATAAGCTGTTTCTAGGCAAAAGGGAAATGGATTGCTTGATTTCTACAACTGAATTTAAAACCGAAGACACAAACACCAAAATGAATGAAAGTGCTACACTGACCTGGAACGCAGAGGCTAACACTGTATTTGTGGGGCCAGTTACCCCACGGCACTGGAACTGGCCTTGACCGTTGTAGGCAACTGCTACAGTCCACAACGGAGAGATTTCAGAATGATGGAGACGTGAATCCAGTAATCGCTGGGAACTTAAGAGGAAAAGTAAAAACCCACCTTAAAATAGTGCAAGGCACAAACCCCCTCCATTCTCTGGGAGGCCTGGCGCGCAGGGCGGAAGGTTAATTCTCCTTCCCCTGGGCATTCTTGAGCGTGAGCTCTAAAACTGCTAAAAATAAACAAGTCTAGCTCTTTCTCTGAAGGCAATGGAGAAAAGCATGGCACACACTGATTTTCTTCTCAAAGTACAAGGAAACCCGGATGCTCTGATCTTCCCTAATTTTTTCCCCCTCTCTGAGGAAGCACTAAATGTTTGAAACCGGAGAGAACCTGAATCTGAAGCATCTCATGCAGAAAGGGTTAAGTGCGAACCTGAACTACCTGAGTGCATTTCCACTGCTCTCACTACACCTCCAGGACAAATAGGGATGAGTTGTCAGGTTAAATATAAGCAGTCAAGTGACTGAATTATAATTTACTCTGTGCTCAATTTAAATTAGTGTGAGGCTATTAAAATATACAGTATAAATACGGCAATTCATCACAAGCTGTCATGGATGACTTCATTTATTTGCTGGAGTGGCACGCGCTCCACTAAAGGGAAGGAGAGCAAAATCACAGGTCAAATTAAGCTGCTATTCTGTTTTAATTCACTTATTTAATCTATGGCGACATAATTGTCTTTTACAGTATGTACAACTCAGAAAGGAAATTTGGGCGGATTACAGTCAGTATACAAATGATTAATCAAATGGTCCATTTAAATGCTAGTTTAAAAGCAGCAGATCCCAGAGCAATCCAAGAATGATAATCAGGACATGTTGTACACAAAGCTAAGACTCTACGACTTTTCCTGTTAGGTGCATTTTTCCCAATGAGAAAACAAACAATATGGGGAAACCTATTAAATCCTCCAAGCACTAGTATTTTGAAAGGTCTTATAGAACACATTAATGGAATAAAAAGGTTCTGTTTTGCAAGATGGCTAACAGTATTTGTATTTGTTTTCTGCTCTACTTATCTGCAATTGTCTTGCCTACCTACAGCAAACAAACACACAACAAGCTGGCTGGAAACACATCTCATGAGTTACATATGGTCATTATCGAAAAGTTATATTCAAAATGTGATCAGCACCATTTTCAAAATGCTCCTTTTGAAGCTGAAAATTTTCTAAATTCAGTAGCATAAAGTAAAAATGCACGGTACTTTTATTCTTCCCCAAATTCAGTTTGTTTTTAAAACATCTGAAATAATATTTTCCCACCTCTGAAGTCTGAAGAGGAAAACACTAGGGTAGGCTCTCTTTTTTTTTGGGCTAAAAAAATTTTTTTAAAAAAGGAAAGATTTGGAAGTATAAAAATCAGAAATGTCTTGAGTAGGATGTGAAAGTAACAGATGTCCGAGGACTCTCATCTGACAGCTCCCAAAGACACTCAGAGTGTGCGTCCAAGGAATCCAACGTCCTCGTCACCGCAGGCAGGCGCCAGACCCTGCGCTGATTCTGTGCAGACAAGGGCTGGATTCGCCGCTCTTTCAATCCCTCTGTGACCCTGGGCAGCCCTGCTTCCCAGCTGAGGTCACCGAGGGGTTCAAGTGACATGCCTGGAGTCACACCAAAGTCAGGAAAAGATCAAATGCGCTTCCAACTCTTAACCTGCAGCTCGCCCTTTGATAGGAAACAAACAAAAAAGCTAAGAACTATTCTCGGTGAGAGCAATGGTCCATACAAAGAACACCCTGGGACATTTTTCACGTGAGCTGAACCTGCCTTCAAGACGAATGAATGAATGAACTAAAAAACAAAAGAACAAAGATGGACTCACTCAGTCATTCAGGAAATTATACACTGAACACTCACTATGTGTGCTGCTCTGTTCTAGGCCCTACACGCACGGTTCTGCAGCAATGATGGGTAAGGGAAGAAGATAAACAATACCTACTCTACATCTACCAAGAGAAGTCAACATCATAGGGGAATGCATGCAGACCAATAACAAAATACAAGACAGTGTGTGACAACACCCCTGAGAGACACACAGAGAATTCTAGAAAGGTTTAAAGGAGAAAGTGACTGACACCACAAGTCCGGCCTTAGCCAGAAGAGTTCAATGGTGAACAGGGCCGTTAGCTGGCCCTCGAAGGGGCTGAGGATTGATCTTCACAGGTGGAGACACAAGGGAAGGCTCTCTAGCCAGAGAGGAACACACAGATCGTCGTGTTGACGTGAGAATGCACCTGGGTCCAGATAAGGCAATGGGCACAGGACTCAGACTCATGAGACAACACTGCAGAAACAGACGGCTGGCACGCCGTGGAGCATCTTGAGTTCCATTCTCTAGGGTTGCTAGTTTATTTGGGAAGTAATGTGGAGCCTTTGAAGACTCTGGGGGTGGGGGAAAGACAAGATCATATGTTCTTAGGAAGCAAAATCTGAGGGTGGTGAGCAGCAGTAGCCCGGAGTGGACAGCACTGCCACCTAGGTTCCTGCCATGGCCCCACTCTTACGGGCTATGGGACCTGGTAGCAAAGGTTGTCTTAACTGAGGAAAACGTATACCTAGTGCACACACAGCATAAATCATAGACCAATGCCAGCACCTATTTACTTAGAGAATAGTTCAAAGGCTGATCAACAAGTCTGACAAGAAGCAAAAACAAGTATCTGAATTAGAGTGGTGACAAGGAAAGAAGAGGTGTTAAAAAGACTTCAACAGGCTCCCAGTCATTGGCCACTTGTCAGCACAGGACTGTGGGCCCTGTGGGATGAAGAACAAGTAAGAGCCCCGTAGTGGGCTGGCACACGGCCTGGGGAGAGTTTCAAGGCCCCCATGTCACAGAGACCCTGGTGACTCAGCTGACTCCCTAAGCTGGGAAGACAAAACTGAGACCCTGAGGAGCCCAGTGAAGCTGGACAGAGCTGCAGAGAGGTACAGAGGGAGACCTGGGGCCTCCAGGTGAGTCCCGAGCAGCACACAGACAGTGGGACATTCCTGAGGCCAGACAGGACCCAAGGACACAGTCTCCAGGCCTAGGCAACTGCCAGGGTAATTCCTATGGCATCAGGTACTCGGCAGAGTACTGCCTCAGCTCAATGGGGAACTGAGTTCCACACTAACTACTGGGCTGGTCCCATCTAACAAAGCAGGTCCTGAAAGAATGACATGATTTCAAAGTCACCTCTGAAAGCTCAAGAATATTTACAAAAATGCAAAATTATGTAGCACTTATGCCTGCCATCCAAAAAGATATGAATAAAGGAAGAAATACAACCCAAAATAAGGGAAACGGAAATCAGTCACAACTGATCCAGAAGTGGAACATACGAACGAATCAGTAGATAAGGACATGAATCCAGTGACCATAACTACATCCCATACACTTAAGAACACAGAGAAAATATTGAATGTGCTAAGTAGAGATATGGAAGATGGAAAAAAATGTGCAGGGGCCAGCGCTGTGGTAAAGCCTCTGCCTGTGGTGCCGGCATCCCACATGGACACCAATGGAGTCCCAGCTGCTCCACTTCAATCCAGCTCTCTGCTAATGGCCTTGGAAAGCAGTAGAAGATGGGCAAAGTACTTGGGCCCCTGTACCCATGTGGGAGACCTGGAAGAAGCTCCTGGGTCCTGGCTTCAGATGGGCTCAGCTCTGGCTGTTGTGGCTATTTGCGGAGTGAACCAGCAAATGGAAGTCCTCTCTGTGTCTCTCCCTCTCCTTGTCTGTAACTCTGCCTCTCAAATAAATAAATAAATCTTTAAAAATAAATAAATAAAAATGCCCATCTAAACTTCCAGGGATAAAAATGGACAATATCAGAAATGAAAAACACATTAGATGGTATCAAGAGCAGTCTAGACAATGCAGAAACAATCAGTGAACTTGAAGACACAGCACTGGAAACCACCAAAAATGAGACAGGAGAAAAAGGACTGAAACAAACAACAGAGTATCATCTTGCTGTGTGACATCTAGGGGTCTAGTACGTAAACCCAAGGTCCTAAAGGTATGGGAGTAACTGAATAAACAGTGGACCATAGCGGACTGTGACTGTCCCACTCTCTCTAACTCTTTCAAATAAAATCAATAAATCTCTTTTATAAGAGAATTAATGAAAATTATGCTACTTTTGAAGAAGAGGTGCATTTCTTTCCCTTAGATTATGACTATTTATAAGCTACATGCTTTTCTCCTTGGCTACCAAAAAGCTCAGGGCTAAACAAAAAGTTTAATCACAATAATCATATGTACTCTTAAATCATTCGTTCATTTAACTCAGTGGAGCATCCACTATGTGACTGTAACAAATCCAGAGATATAAGTGAATACGATACAATCCTGGCTCTAAAGCCCAGTTCAATGGTCAAAGATAGTGAACCATCTACATGTAAACTCAAACTATTTTCATTTACTCAAAGTCTCTAACACCTTGATGGCAAATGCATTGTCTTTAGAATTGCTTTTAATCTTTTCTAGAAACAATTGTTGGCCCCAAACTAAGTAACCACACACAGGAATTTAAGTATTAGTCAATGCCAAACATAATTCAAAATGTATGAAATTGTGAAAAATTTATAATGTACTTGTAAGGTAAATAATGATAGGACTTTGCATGACTTACAGCCATGCTCTGCTCCTTTGGAATAGATAACCTAGAGTTGACTGTCTTTCAATATATCATCAGCAACAACTCAAGATTTTTGGAAAGGAAAACAGTGTTCAAGTTGGTGGAGCTGATGTATTAGTGAAAAGGGGGCTCAGACAAATCAATCCCACGCCATGGTGGTGCCACACAGCTGCACTTGGTGAGCCCAGGGGAAGACGGCGATGCAGCCCGGCCCCTGCGGGTCCTTCTGGGTACTCCCTGGACATTAGGTTCCTGCTCTGTAAAATGTAGGCAATATAGAAAATCTCTAAGGTCTCCTCCAGTTCTGCAACTCTGTGGATCTTGTGTGGATGGAGGATCAAAGAAAACATCCCAAGAAGGAGCGCGTCTGTTACATTTTCACTCCAAGCTGTGCAAGTTATTAAAACCGGACTTAATAAAGCCTCAGTAAACACTCCGGCTGCTCTACTAGGTGTGAAAGGATGACTCTCCATGGCTGTAGCAGTCAGATCTGAGCCTCAGTTCTCAACGAACGTGACTAAAATTGATTACAACTTAACTGTTCTGATTCTTAGTTTCCCAGATAAAAGATGTACTAGTGTTAGGGAAGATGACTTACTCACTGTGGCCAGCCAAGATGGCATTTCAGAGGTGACCCCTGAAAGTACCGGTGGAAATTGGGGGGGATGAGCGAGTATGGTAACTGTACAAAGGCTGCAGCTGTGGAGGAGGACATGAGCGTGGGAGACAGACGGACCTGCTTCTAAACCCCAGCCCTACCTGTTCCAACTGTGCAGCCTTTTACAAGTCAGCTTTCAGGGTCTGACTTTCCTTGAATTAAAAATAATTATCTCATACTTTTAAGAATTAAATGTAATCATTATAAAACATGTAGTATAAAGGCCAGTGTGGTGGAACTGCAGACTAAGCCACCACTTGTGATGCCAGCTTCCCACATCGGAGTGCTGGTTTGAGTCCTGGCTGCTCTGGCTCCAATCCAGCTCCCTGATGTACCTGGAGAGGCAGCAGAAGATGGCCCAAGTCCTTGGGCTCCTGCCACCTATGTGGGAGTGTGGGAGACCAACATGGAATTCCTGGCTCCTGGCTTTAGCCTGACCTAGACCTGGCTGTTGTGTCCATTTGAGGAGTGAACCAGCAGACAGATTTCTCCCTCTCTGTCACTCTTTTGGATAAACAAATAAATCTCTTCCAAAAAATAATCTAGACTACTTACTACCTGGCATTTGATAGTCACTCAGGGGAAAAAAAAAAAAAAAAATCCATTACTCGAAGCCCAAATATCAGAGATAAAGAGCCTGAAAAGAAGCAACAGGCTAGTGAGGCAGAGAACGTGTCTGGAAAGGCGGGTGGGGGCCCAGCTGCAGATGGCTTGACCACCGGCGGGGAGCAAGGCAGGCAGTGCGTGTTTGTTAGCTAAGAACCCAGTGTTGGGAGTGGGGGTCTGTGCGGTTAGGTCTTCAGGTCGTGACGGGCTCTGTCACAGATGCAACTGAAGACAAAGTCTGCGGGAAAGCTGAGACTGAACACGGCGGGAGCTTCAGCGGCAGATTCAATCCAACATGGCATGGTGGGGCTGGGTTCTCGGAGCTCGGTCGGGCCAGGGTCTGGATGATGACTGGGAGGGAACGGGGCAGGAGCCCCTCACCATCTAAGCCATGCACCGCTTCACTCCGCTGGTGGGAGGGGGTGGCCTCAGGTATTTCAGAAGGGGGCAGACGTCTTGGGCTTTATGTTGCACGTGACTGAAGCTGGGGCAGGGGACAAGACAGCTACAGGGTCAGATCCGCGATCTGACTTCCCGAGGCTGAGGAGAGTAAAAAAGTACAAAGGAGAAGAAGACTGAAGTGCAATGAGGGGGGCAGGGATTTGGCACAGGGGTTAAGATGCTGCTTAAGGTACCTTTATCTCGTATCAAAGCCCAGGATTTGAGTCCTGGCTCTGCCCCCAAGTCCAGCTTCCTGCTAATGCACACCCTGGGGGGTCGCAGGCGATGGCTCAAGCACTTGGGTCTCTGCCACCCACATAGGAGATCTGGAATGAGATCCTGGCTCCTAGCCCTGGCTGTTGTAGGCATTTAGGGCGTGAACCAGCAAACGGGAGACTTCCCTTTCTCTCTGTGTCTATCCATCTATCTCTTTCAGATAATAATATATACATACAATTTTTTAAGTATTGCCCACCGCACCCCCAAAAAAAGGAAACAAAACAAAAGAAAGTGCAGCAAAGAAGCCATTTCCAAAATACAGGTAATGTGAGCCTGACCCGCGGATTTGGCACGAGGGATGAGAATGGAAAGAAGTGGGAAAACTCCTAACAGGACACGACAGACAAGGGAGGGCGAGGAACGGGTGGCTAAGCAGGAAGACGGTGATGCCCACACTGCAGAGAACACAGACAGCACGCTCCTTATGAAGCTCTGTGTAGAGCTTCCGCCAGACCGCCTGCCAGCACCCGTGAAACACCCTCAGGCGCCTGACTGTCACAACAGGGCCACACCGCCCGGTACCTATCATGCTAGCCTTAAGCTGTTTCATCTCCTCTTTGAGAATACCCGTGATCAAGCTAACAGGAAAAAGGAAAGCAGCAAAGATCAGGAATTTCATAAAATGTATCCAGTGCTTACCTTTACAGCTAATATTTTCCCACTCGGGACATGATGTGCTCTGTAAGAAGAAAAAAGTAACAGAATCACTTGGGTTGACTAAAACCTCTACACAAGGGTTAAGGATATAACTGCAAATCCAAACACTTTGGCAGCAAGGTGATACATGGTACAGTCAGCCCTCTGTGCCCGTGGGCTCTGTAGTCACGGATTCAACCAGCGCAGATCAAAACTATTCGGTAGAAAGGATTGCATCTCTACACACATCCAGGCTTTTTTTTTTCCTAGCTATTATTCCATAAATAATACAGCAGAACAGCTATTCGTGTAACACTAACATTGTACTAGGTATCAGCAGCAGCCTAGAGATGACTTAAAGAATTGGCGGGGGGCTAATCTGTGGAAGGTCTATGCAAATACTACATCATTTGCCATAAGAGTCTTCAGCACCCTAGATTTTGGTATCTGCAAGGGGGTCCTGGAAACAACCTCCATGGACACTGAGGGTTGATGGCACTTTCAAAGCACACCGACAATAACATTAGTAATTTACAATTCTTCGGCGTTTAATGGTTTACAAACTGACTGATGCATTATACAATTTCCTGAAATAACCCTCTGAGATAATGCCCATATTATCCTCCCCTTATAGAGGGGAACAAGGAAGCAGAGCATAGCTAAGAGTGTGCCCAATGGCAGTGAGTGAATCTGGCTCCAGACGCCTGTATCTGTCATTGTGTGCAGGCGTCTTCCATAGCCTTATGCCATGCTCCATGCAGAGCTATAGAAAATGCAAGGTTTGGGCCAGCACCGTGGCATAGTGGGTAAAGCTGCCACCTGCAGTGCCAGCATCCCATATGGGCACCAGTTTGAGTCCTGGATGCTCCACTTCTGATCCAGCTCTCTGCTATGACCTGGGAAAGCAGTGGAAGATGCCCCTGCACCCATGTGGGAGACCCGGAAGAACCTCCTGGTTCCTGGTTTTGGATCGGCACAGCTCCAGCCATTGCAGCCAGCTGGGAAGTGAACCAGTGGATAGAAGACCTCTCTCTCTCTGTCTCTCCCTCTCTCTGTCTGTAACTTTGCCTCTCAAGTAAATAAATAAATCTTTAAAAAGAAAAAAAAAGAAAATGCAAGACTTTATAAGTGCTTCTTTCAATTAAATACACAGAGGCACTATACTGCTAAATTTCATCCAAGTAATCTCAAAACAGAATTAGCAATGACTTACATTATAATATCATATAAAAATCATAGAATTATAAGTTCATCTCCTAAAAAAAGAGGGGCAAGCTCCAAGTATTAAGTTATGGTAATACAATTATAACTTACATCAAGAGACAGGAACTCATTCATTGATGAAAAAGAGTTAGAGAACAGAAGAGGGTTGGCAGCAATAAAAGACCATTACTCTTCATCAGGACCTTCTGTGTTTAAATGAAAGGTGGTCTTTCACAGAAATACTGCAGAGTACTCAGGGAAAACAAACATCTTTTATATAATAGAAAAAATTTCAAACAAACCATGTAACATCAATAAGCATGGCTACCACATAAAGAAGAAATGCGGTGGGGAGAGCCCAAATCTTGCCAGTCCCACTGGCCTTCTCTCTCCGATAGTGTTAAGGTGGGGATGGAGCACGCGGACATGGAAGCTGGCGCCTCCAGAATTCCCCACCCCCACTTCTCAGTGACAAAATACACCTCCCAGGCCCCTAGATCGCTCATTTCTGCAAAGATGATGTGTTCCACTACTACCAAAACAGAAACATCACTCTCTGCTGGTTTGCTTGGTTACTCTGCAAGTGCACTAACAGCTTAATGAGGTATGATTTGTATATGATAAAGTCCCCTTGTTATAAGGGTACAATTCAAAGATTTTTAGTAAAGTTACAGAATTGAATAATCACTGACAAGCATTTTAGAAGTGACTAAGAGAAATAGTTTGGCTAACCAAGAGTCTACAGCTATTAGTAACAACTTCCCACAGACAAAATGTTCCAAATTCAGGCAAGACTAGGAAAACACACATAGGAGAGTATGAACATATTTATCCATACATGAGTGTTAAAAGGACTTACTCATCCTGCTTTTTGCATTTAAGTGGACAAAGGTCAAACCAATTATAAAAGGTAAGCTTAGCTTTTATTACATGAATTACTTATACAGAAATTCAGGTATATCTCATTGAAGGAAAAGACAAGATCATAAATAATTAGGTGACAACTGTTTGCCATAGAGTTCTTACTCTACGAACATGTTTTATGTGTAATATAACTTTCCCAGCATACATAAATCTTACAAAACTTAAATCAATTTACAAATGTTTTATACTTTGTATAAAGTGACATACATTTTGTAAGTGGAATCCCTCTACCTCACTGGTTTTAACGCGAATTACTACTGACTATTACGTTCATAGCAGACTTTTATAAGGAAGCCTCTATTTCAGATCTCAACCTGGTTCATAATCTATCCAAACTTAGGTAACAGACTGATCCATAAACCAGATGCATCCTTCTCAGTGCTGATGGAGAAGTTGTTGGATTAAGCTAATCTAAACCATGATTTGAGGAATTTAGTAACTCATTCCACATATACCAGCAATATGTGTAAGATTTAATAATGATACATTGCTTTTCCCCTTCCATATCAGATTCTTCTAATTTCAGATTTTTAAGTATTACACATTAGACTCCGTAACCAAGGTATGAGATAGGAAGACAAACGGCTGAATGCATACGCAAGGATCTGGAGGTCCTAACGAGAGCAGTGCTATCGCCTCGAACCACAAGCTACACCTGGACTTTCGAGCCTTGCGGCCGTGAAGAGGAAATGATTGGAAGAGGATCTAATATATATTCCATCCTGGACAGTCTGGCAACTTAATTAGCTTGTCAAGAAAGCCGATCTCTTTTCCAAAAGAAAAGTCTCCTGTTTCCAAGTGAATTAAAAGGTGGGAGGCGGGGGAGGGGGCGGCTTGATGATTTAATTATGACGCACGCTAATTCATCCGTGGAAGTTTGGGTTCGATTTCGAGCAATAAAGACGCTGTGTGGGTTGGTTTACAGTGCAATGGCAGCGCCAATTTAGCAGTTAATCATCAAGGAGAAGCGGATGACAAAGGCAATGCCAGACGTGAGTCAGGTCTGTCCCTTAACTTTGCAAATGACACTCTACCTGGGGAGAAAAAGGATTTGCTTACTTTCAGCAGGTACAAGCGCCCGGACTCTCTTGACCTTGCTCAACACATTAACTGTGAAGTGATTAGCAAAGTTTGAATGGGGGCTCTGGTTATACCAAAAGACAACCATACACCTCTGCAATGTTTTAATTAACAGCTAACACTTCAAATTAGTTTGTTGTTGCTACAGTAATTACCTGTTCCAGTGAGTGCATGGAGGAAGCGCTGTTGTGAGATGTTTTTACTGTCTGGTGCTAAGTGTCCCGTTTCGTTTGTGACCAGCAGACGCCTTCTGGGAACAGTCCCAGTCCTTAAAATTGAGCCCAAAACATATACACTGAAGGACGGCAAAAAGCTAAAAGCCTGCTATGGATTTCTGGACTACTTAAAATAACAAAGAACCCGGCACAAGAGAACAGCTGCCATCCATATTTTGTCTTTGTTCCAGTTAAAACAAGAGGTTCTAGATGACTGAACAAAGAAGCCGGCGTCAACACGTCATCTCGGCAGAGTACGGAATCACACAGTTTACAGCATTGGTAAGGAACACGGAACACTGCCTAGTCAAATCCCTTTCTTTGCCAGTGGGAACGCTCACACAGCCAGTGTCGAAGTTGAGACTGGAACTACGGCTGGATACACAGAACTCAGGACCAACAGGAAATGCATGGTGACGTTCCAGTTTTCTTCACGGGAAACACAGTAAGTCAAAATTTGGGAAGGCACAGATCTATTTCATTCAGGCTAAGGACCATCAAGTCCACATCTCCCCAGGCAAGCCAGCTCTCTGTAATCACTGCCCAGCTCCCCCAGAGGCAGAGCAGCCAGGAGCTCTGAAGTCACGGCCTGCTTGCCCGTCTCATCCGCGTGAGCCTGACTCGGTAAACCTGAGCCATGTGCCAGCTGTCTGAGTCTGGACCCTCTACCTTACGGAGCTGTGAGGACTCAGGATTCAGTGAAGGAATACCGAGGGAGGGCGTGGTACGCTACAGACAGGCACTGAATGTTACAAAACAATCACCACAGCCATCTCAATGCTTACCGTGTTTACCGCCTGCCCACACGCTAGTCGTTGATACTCCAGAGAGGGGGGATAAGTGCCCATGCAGGTGTTCACCTCAGTGGAAATCCCATTTGGCAAACTGCTGTTGCTACGTGAGGTGTTTGTCAATCTCCTTGGGTTAATATATAGGAAAATATAAATGACTCTTAAAATATCTTAATTTTTGATTTTATTTATTTGAGAGGCAGAGAGAGGTTGTCCATCTGCTGGTTCACTCCCCAAATGGCTGCAAAGGCCGGAGCTGTGCTGATCCAAAGCCGGGAGCCAGGAGCTTCTTCTGGGTCTCCCTTTTGGGTGCCAGGCCCAAGCACTTGGGCCATTTTGTACTGTTTTCCCAGGCCATCAGCAGGGAGCAGAATTGGAACTAGAGCAGCTGGGACTCAAACCAGTGTCCATCTGGGATACCAGTGGTGCAGGCGGAGGCTTAACCTATTACGCCATAGCGCTGGCCCCATGTCTATTTTCCTTTAATGTACATCTTTATACGACTCTCTAAAATACAATGTTGAGGCCTCTCCTACTTTTCAGACTTTAATTGTTCTGTGACAGCCCCTAGCACACTGCAGAAAACTGGTCATGTGTCTAGCTTCATATTATGTTGTACCATGTCTTAATCTTTTTGTATTCCTTATGCTTAGCACTAGTCCTAGCCCATGGGAGGTGCTCCATACTTAACAAACGTTTGACAAGTAATTACTACTTTTGATTGAAAAAAATCTATTATTGGATAGTGTTTCATAAAAAATTCAACACATATATGGTTAATTCTGTCATCTCTTGGAAGCTATTATAACGACCTTCACTTCATAGGTAGG